ATTCATTGTTTACATTCTGGTTTTAAAATGGATAAAAGTTTTTCTTAACTTGTTTTCCTTTCTTTTTGCTCTATATTCATGCATTAGAATTCTTTGCGTGTATGTACCCTGGATCAAGCAGCACTTGCATTATACAGGAGATTCCACCCAAAATCTAAACCATGAGTCCAAGCTGAAGAGGAATATTTCCAAAATGAGGTCTAAACACACACACAGGTTACTTTCCCCTTCATTATAGAGATACAGAGAGAGAGATGGGGGGATGAGTTATAGCCACGAACCTGAATAGCTTAGATGTAGAACTGAGATGCCCATCCATGTCACTTGCCATTTTAATGAATTACAGGGTTTACAAACATACATATTAACCCTTTGGGTAAAAGATCTCGGTATTTGCGTAAATTTGTTATTACTATTTATGAAGTAGACCTGTTTCATAATGCTATGTAGTAGATCAGTCTCATACTCGACCCCACCTCCTTCATATCACAATGTCAATTCCTAAAACCTGTGGCAAATTATATAAGTTGGTAATAGAGAAAAATTGAATGAGGTAGATGCAATACAAATTGATTCCAATCTTAAGCACTTTAATAAGACTTTATTCAGGTATGGCACGTGAACCGCCCAAAAAATTCCAAAAATGCTGCAGTTTTGTTTTATGTTTAAAGTGAACGGTAACAAAGGACCTACATTGTTTTGTATATTTTGGACTGCGCATATTCAGTGATCTCTGTATTATAATATATAGAAATGTAAAGCATATAGAACTTTATGTCAACTCCAGCATCATATCTGAACGAGCCTTAAAAGACAATCCAACCCTTGTAATAAGTTCATTGAAATGGAAGCTGAAAAATAAGAGAAATAGAAAGGCGAAAGTTTGAAATAAATCGGGCCAATATAAAGGGAGTTGTGATAATATATAAATATGAGATCACTAAATCCATGCATATCTCAATGAAATGCTAGAGCGCCGTATGGCAGCCGTGCTAAAGCCAGGGTAATAATCGGGAGCGCCAGGAGGGTCAAATCTGACTGACATGAGCGCTACACAAGAACCCACTATTATTATTATTATTACACCTGTAGTCATGGGACAACTCTCCCATTTGTTAATGGAATATAATACATTCTCTTTTTATTTTAAGTGCCTTCTCCCTTTGAGAACTACTCAAAATATATTATGAATAGCACATTATTACAAGTCCTCTACATAGAAAAGCCACTCGTGGATCATACATGTTGAAGAAAAAAAATTTAAAATCATTTTGTGTGTTGAAATAAATGGGAAAGTAGTCCAGCAGCTCGTCATAGTGACATTACCGATTCAGCCAATTTAAAATGCCCTTAGGTTTAGTGATTACAGCTTTCAACAATCCATAACCACCTTATTTTCTGTCAGATTTAATTTGCTATTTTTTAAAAGTATAGTTGTCTGTTAAGGTTGGATTTCCCTTTAAAAAGTGTAAAGGGTAAGCCCTATGTAACATAATGTGATTAGGCCATTTTCGTTATAAATCAAATCAAAGTGCCGCGGTACAAATTATCTCTTTCACCTATTAAGAATAATTGTATTTCAATAGTCAGAATGCGATATGCAAACATTATGTGTTGTTAGGTAGGGCAAGACATAATGTTTGTCCTACCTATAGTACTAGCAACACGTAATGTATTCAATTTGTATTCTGACTATTTAAATACATTTATTCGTAACAGGTGAATTTAATAATTGGTAATGAGGCACTTAACAAGGAAATACCGTATTCATTAAATTTGATTACAATACGAAAATGACCTACGTACAGTACATGTATTCAAATGGATAGGAAATCTTTGAACTGTTATGTCGTTTTCTGAGGGTTCATAATTTTATAAATTCTAAAGGGTTCATAATTCTACAAATGAAGTAGGATTCCTAATTCTGAAAATGAACTAGGATTCGTAATTCCAAAAATGAAATATGGTTCATAATTCAGAAAATTAAATAGGGCTCAATATACTTCCAAAAGTTTATTATTCTGAAAATGCAAATAGAACCCTTTATCCTTTTTGGAATTACGAACCGTCAATATAATGAATCCTATTTCATATTCAAAATAATACCATTTCATTTGCCGAATTATGAACCCTATTTCAAATTCAATATCGTTATTAACGCCCCTTTTTCAATTCCAGAATTATGCACCATTTATATTTTTGGTAATTATGAAATCTATTTCATTTTTAAATTCAAACCCTTCTTAAATATGGACCATATTTCATTTGTTTATCGATTTGTCATAATTTGTCATAATACACTGTACTATCAAGTTACATTTATTGATGAACAGCATATCACAGCACTTGTCAAAATAGTAAGACCGTAAATGAATTTGTTTTGCTTGTGAATGTAGTAGGCTTATATTATGTAGTACACAATATTACATTTCCAATTGCTGCAACTTCATATCAATCTTTTACATGTACTATGACAATCTACAGGTCAAAATCATGCTTTGCGTAATCATTTGTGAATTATTCTCTATTTAATATACATGAATGAAGTACTTAAATTTGTGCACATGAACTTATTCTCCATGGTGGAAAATTACTAACGAAATTTCTCAGCAAAAACTATTTCTCATTGTTTCTACTCATGATGGCTACCGTAAGATAACTATTGCAAATTGCCAAACCTACTCTTTTAAACATCTACTCCAAATTTTCAAGATTGATTTCTCTTTGTTAAAACTGGCCATAATTTCTAGACAATAATTAGCCAATTTAACATTGTTTTTGTTTATATTTCTTCTTTTGTTGTTGAAATGTGTAAAAAAAATCCTTTTTCATTTAAGCTGTTAACTTTGCTTTTAAACGTTCATGTCATTGTAATCACTATATGATGTATGATATTCTGACAGATAATTAAAGGATACACTGTTAAGTGTTAAATATGATAAAGATGAACCAACATGATTGTGATATCTTTTGTTAACAGACGTTTGCGAGAGAAATGGCTGAACCTCGAGAAAATAGTTAATTGTGTTGGAAGCAAACTTCATGCCAGCTCCTGTCATTTTCGTGTCTACTTTGCAGACCAGCATGCCCTTTTAAAGTACAAAAAAACAAAAACAAGGGCTGGCAGATTTTGTGAGGAGTACTGTGTTGGAAGTGCATTGATGAAGTAGAATTTAAACTGATCAAAAAAATGTCAACCATGTAATGTAACCAATGCTGTGGTTCAATTGAGGATTCCTACTTGTGTTCTACTGGTCTCCTACTGGTTCCATAGGGGATTCATACTTGTTTTCTACTGGTCTCCTAATGGTTCCAGACTTCCAGTTGGGATTCCTACTGGGATTCCTACTGGTCTCCTAATGGTTCCATAATGGTTTTCCACTGGTCTTCTACTGGTATCCTAATGGTTTCTGTATGGATTCCTACTGGTCTTCTAATGGTTCCAGTTTGGATTCCTACTGGTCTCCTAACGGTTCCATTAGGGTTTTCTACTGGTCTTCTACTGGTATCCTAATGGTTTCTGTATGGATTCCTACTGGTCTCCAAATGGTTCCAGTTGGGATTCATACTGGTCTCCTAATGGTTCCATTAGGGTTTTCTACTGGTCTTCTACTGGTATCCTAATGTTTTTTGTATGGATTCCTACTGGTCTCCTAATGGTTCCAGTTGGGATTCCTACTGGTCTCCAAATGGTTCCATTGGGGTTTTCTACTGGTATCCTAATGGTTTCTGTATGGATTCCTACTGGTCTCCTAATGGTTCCATGACTTCTTTTTTACTTGTCTAATGGTTCCAGCACTTCTTTTCTACTGGTCTTCTAATGGTTTTTATATCGATTTCTACTGGTCCCCTACTGGTTCCAGTGGGGATTTGTACTTGTTTCCTACTGGTCTCCTAATGGTTCCAGTTGGGATTCATACTGGTCTCCTAATGGTGCCATTAGGTTTTGCTAATGGTCTTCTACTGGTCTTCTGCTGGTTCCAATACGATTTTTTTCTACTGGTTTCTAATGGAAAAAGCGCCACTTTCCATATTGAAACCAGTAGAGAATTGACCACTAGAAACCGTTAGAAATCTGTACTGGTTTTCTCTACTGGTTTCTATGGGATTTTCGACCTGGGTTGCGCATAGCAAGTATTATGGATAGTCGATAGGAAAAACAATTTAGCCTTCGGCCCCAGGTTTAAAGGGTTAAATTTGTAGATATTGGACGTTTCATTTTGTCGGTAATTGGTGGCTAGTTTTGTCGGTAATCGTTGGCCTCTACACCCCCCCCCCCCCCCCACTGAAAAGGGTCTAGCGACGCCCCTGATAGTATCCTACTACTAAACATGACAACTTCTAGCTCAGTCGTTACTCAAACTCCCAAAATAAAATTCACTGAAGGAGTTGCTAGAATGTGAGGTTTTTAGGCTATATGGGAAAGTTCGTATTAAAAAAAAAAAAAAAATTATTATTATTATTATTATTATTATTATTATTATTATTATCATTATTATTATTATTTTATTTATTTTATTTTTTTGGGGGGGGGGGGGGGGGGGGGGGGAGGGGGCAGCTATAGCTCCTTTTCTACGGATTTATATTATGTACTGTGTTCAGTACCCTCAAAAAAATTTCATCTCATGACGCCACTGTCTAGGCCTATTAGAATCATATTATTGGTGCATGATGTCATTACCTTTTCTGGGTATTTTGGTCATGAACGCGATAAAAACAAATTGACGGGTTAGCTCTTTCCAAGTTTTTTATATTATTTTTAAGTGATTGAGCTATGCAATAAATGAATATATTTTGTCATTTAAAATAAATTGTTAAGTATAGAGTACAGTTATTATGGATTATATAATTTGTTTTTAGAGTCTGTTTGTGAACTAAGTTGTAACTGGTTCACTTTCGCCGAAAATAGCAGGACATGGGCAACTGCTTCTATTGGCCGTTGTGCGTGAACGGCTGAAATAAGCCTAATATAGGAAGTAAATGAAAAGACTAGATGTGAGTAACACAAACACATACCATACAGTCATTTTCAGGTGATCTCGCGATCTCGTACTCCGTGCTCGGCTGATATATTGCATATTGGAACTCTAAATAAGGCTACATTTATACGTTTCTTCATCTCTTCAAGCAAATTAGAGGTTTGCTGTATTCTTTACTTTGATCAGATTGCAGAGAATCTTTAGAAAGATGTCGAGCAGTTTAGAAAGTATCCTTTTTTATTTGTTTACTGTCTGTAACTTGTAAAGTTGTAATGAAATTGGTGGGGAATTGATGTGTCGTCTACACACATACCTACATGATGTAGCTGCATTACTAATCCTGGCTGTGTATTAAAAGCTGTTATTGATTCTCAACATTTCAAACACCACTGTACAAAACTCAACTGAGCTGATTTCACTCAAAATCGGTACTTGAGTGACAATTGATCATGGATAACATGACCTAGATCTAGACTAGATCTAGACCCTAGATCTAGTTAATAGCAGTAAAATACAATTTGTTCAACTCACCGATGTTAGAAAGAATAATTCAAAAATTAAAATCGTGAGTCTACTGTCAAACTTGCTTACAGCCACATCGGCATCATTGTGTGCATTTGTGTGTTATTTGTGTTTTGACTAGGTGGACCACTACACTGGCTCTTTCTCTACACAGGGCCTCCGTTTAACGTCCTTTCCGAGGGACGGAGTGTTTTCCACTTAACATAGCCTACATCTATGAGCTATGTGTTAACACACAACGCAGGCTTCAGTCATCTGCCTGAGTAGGATTCGAACCCGGCATCTTTGGTTCGACAGGCAGACGCTTTACCGACTGAGCCAACTCGCCTTCATGTGTGCAAATGCCGTCTATTAGCACGTAGTGCAGCGCTAGAGGACAATACGCATTAGCATTGACTCTATATATCGTCGCTGTTTTCATGAAGTGACGGTAGTGAAAAAAAATTGCATTCACTTTGCGTTACGATTTTCCTCACTACCGTCACTTCGTGAAAACAAGGACGATATAATTTTTAATGTCATATTGCTGTATAGCGTGTACTCACCTTTTTGCAGGTCCTAAATTACCTGCGAGTGCCAGGGTCTAATGACTGGTGTACTATCTATAAAGCACCTAAAGATGCTGTAGATACTTAAGAAGCTACTAACATGTAGTAAATTAAAAATACCGGTATCTATTTGTGCACTTGTACCATGGACTATTGGAATGATGTGCACATCTTATTGTGGGGTAGCACTTCTTTACTGCTGTAGGATTCACATAAAGGGATTAGTAGTGCAATAATGGAAAAACAAATAATTTTTCTTAACCAGAATTTATTTTCAGAACACCTTTTCAATCTGAAGTTTGCTGCCAAGCAGATGAACAGAGAGTCTAAGAAATGTGAGAAAGAAGAAAAAGCAGAGAAGACCAAATTAAAAAAGGTAAATGTCAATATTCACGTAATCTCTCCGACCTACATGTACATGTACCTGTACATTTCTCCTCCTCAGGCATACAGATTAAGATACCGATAGTAGTAATGTTTTTTTTTTTTAAATATTTTTTTGGTGCAAATTGCAGAATTCTGTACATAGTAAAAAGAATTATGTAGTAAATTATAATGTTTACATATACGAACTGAACAGTAATGACAGTACATCAAGTCAGAGGCATAATAATAACATTGACAACATTGATGTGTAGGTTCAGATAAACTAGAGTGAATTGCACAATCTATGGAAAATATAAGCAATGATTAACATGATAGAGGATTGAGATTGTACATGTAAAAAAAAAATCATTTTTACTAGATAATCAAAATACACAGGCGTGTAGCATAAAACATATGAACTGAGTTCACTTTAGTATGTTTATTTTATCACTGGACTTCTAAATTTATTGCTACTGTTAAACAGCATATGTAAGTTTGAAGGAGAACGGAAAGTGTAAAGTGTATTGATGGACCTGTGATGAATTGAAAGAATGAAAATAAAACTCAGATTAAGTGTTAGCCGTCACAGTTGTGACTTACCGGTTTGTCAGAATTTATTTTGAAACCCAAGTTGCAAAATACTTTGACAAGAACAATTCAAGATGCCATGCTGAAAGAGCCTTCCAAGAATAATTTCAATTGATGTCTCATGTCTGTAGGCCAAGATCCACTGCATACAAAGAACTTAGTCAGGAATATGATCAAATTACCCAGTCAATATTTAAATCTTTTAGGCCAGACAGTGAGGCAAATACTATTGAGGAATGGCCCGGTGCTATCGGTGTTTACTTTATTACCAGTATAGGCCATGTAATGAGGTAATATTCAATTCCATGTAAAAAGCTGGTGAATAAGATTAGTGCTGTAGTCAAACGTTTAACCGTCCGGTATCCGACCGCCCATGGCGGATTCCGTTTTCAATTGGACGGTTTCGTTTTCCGTTTTTTTAAAGTTTTTTTTTATGTTTTTTTTTTTTAATTTATTTTTTTTTAAATAATTTTTTTAAAGTTTGATTTATGCCCCTCCACCTGGTACTATGCCTGGCAATGTCTCCCAGCTCAGTAATCGTTGTGAAGACACACCACTCGAAAACTAGAACAACACTCCAATTTGTCTGTCATCTTGGTTTGAAAGTAATCTTTGTAATAGATCTCAATAGGTAGTTTATAATAATAATTCATCCAATTTTTACACATGGCGTACCACAGGGTCCTATCCTAGGTCCTCTACTGTTTTTAATGATCTTACATATTCTTCTAAACACGACATTGTTACTATTATTTGTGACTAGTTCACAAGCACAAATCGGCGCCTTCAACTGCACCTCGCAGTTAAATGAAAGTCCTTCCCGCTTTTTCACACGGACCTGGCTTGCTGCCGACAGAGTCGGCCCCAAAAAAAAAGAAGATTTTTTTATTTTTTAAATTTTGTTTAATTGTGCAATTGATGTTCAATCTTTTATAGGCTATACAGAAGGGAAATGTTGAAGGGGCCAGGATCCACGCTGAGAACGCAATTAGGAACAAGAGCCAGGCCTTAAATTTCCTACGAATGAGTGCCAGAGTGGACGGAGTGGCTTCAAGAGTTCAGTCAGCCGTGGCCATGAAGAAGGTTACTTCATCAATGTCTGGGGTAGTCAAAGCTATGGACTCTGCAATGAAATCAATGAACCTAGAAAAGGTAACAACAACAATCTTCTAAATCTTTCAGTGAAATAAGTAAACCTTTCTTGATTGGAAGTGCTAATGCTTAATAATAAATGAATTTTTATAGCACTTTCTACTATACATGTGAATAAGACGTGTGTAGGATTAGGAAAAGTGATTATGTAGTTTCTTAGTAGTTGCATTTCTGTGAGTTTGAAACTCAAGATAGCCCAAAGATCATTTTGCTTAGCTACACCACCACCACCATCACCACCATCATCTGTATCTTCCTCCTCTTTAAATTATTTGTTGTTTGTCTTCTTAGATAAGTGCACTGATGGAGAAGTTTGAGAAGCAGTTTGAAGACATGGATGTCCAGACACAGTGCATGGAAGACACCATGTCTGCTTCGACCACTCTCACCACACCTCAATCTCAAGTAGATAGCCTGATGTCACAGGTAGCAGACGAAGCCGGGTAAGTACAGTATGACCTACATGTATTCCTTCCCCTACCTGCAACCCTGATGAAATAGAATGAAATGAATGATAGGATGAAAGATATAATGAAATACATACAGGTATGTCTATCTCCAGTGCAGTCTTCAAGCAGAAACTTCAAATGTGAAACACCTCTCCTTCCATAGCACATACACAACCATACTAATCAAAACGTTGGTGAAGTATAGTTAACCCTGAGTATACCGACGCAACCGAAACAGGTAAAAATTACCTCTGTAAAGGAAATGAAATATTTAGGCATTGTTTTTAGTAATAATGGATCGTTCAAAACGGCGACAAGGGACTTAGCGGATAAGGCCAGGAGAGCATTATTTAAACTTTATAAATCTTTCGGCAAGTATTAAAACCTTATTACAACTGTTTGATGCAACTATACAACCTATTTTGCTTTATGGATCCGAAATTTGGGGAGCTAGTGCAATAGACATGAAGAAAATGCTTCAAATAGAAACAGGGAAAACAGGACTGTATTATAAAAACGATTTTGAGAAAGTACACATTCAGTGTTGTAAAAATATCTTAGGGGTAAACCGCAAATGCAGCAATTTAGCAGTTTCAGCTGAAATTGGAAGGCATCCTCAACTTATTCAAATTGTAATAAACATGCTCAAATATTGGATACGAATACGAAGTTTGGATGAAAATGGCCTTGTCTATAAATCTTTTGAAGAAACAAAAAATTAGGAAATAACGAACAAAGCTGTTGGTTAATGTCAATTCGGGATATCTTTAGTTCACTAAATATTTGTAATAATGGAAACGAGACCGTATTGGACCCTGAAAATATACAAATTTCCAAAAAGATGTTGTCGAGCTATGTAAATTTTGTTTGGAAAGGAGATTTGATGAACAATTAAAACTGGATTTATTTGATGATAGGGATACCCATGAAAGGAAATAAACTCAGAACCTTCAGACAATTTAAAAACGCAACCAAGCAAGAAAAGTATTTATCTCATATACCAAATATAAATTTAAGAAAAAATATCACCAAACTACGTCTGAGCGCACACAACTTACCCATAGAAACGGGAAGATATAAAAGACCAGAAAAAATGCCCCCGAATCTACGAATCTGTGAAGAAAATATGAATCTTGTAGGAGATGAATTCCATATTTATTATGAAATGTGACAAGTATATAGATTTACGAGTAGATTTTATAGAAAAATTAGTAATCTGGAAGAAAAGTTTAGTAATTTGGATAGTCAAGAAAAATTCATATTTATAATGAGATTAGAAAATGAAGTTGTAATAGATATTTGTTCTTTGTTCACCAAAAACATAATTGCTATGAGGGTTAATTTTTAGATACTATGTTATAACAAAGTAGAAATGTACAATCTTATGCTTTTGGTTTAATTCTGCAGTAGGTCGCAGTTATGTTTAAGTACTATTACGTCATGTATTTTAGGCACCCCATGTACCTCATTTACCTATTTTGTATTAATTTATTTAGAAAAGTGCTGTATTATGTTTATCTAAATCTTCGGATGTATTATGGTACATTATATTACTATATGCATTATGTCATGTTACATTAAATTATGTCATGTTATTACTAAAAGAAAAAAAGAGTGTTTCTGCTGGATATAATTTTTTCCTTCTGTTTTGCTATAAACACTGCATTGTAAATTGATTTATACGGTATATATATGTTTACAGAATATTGATATGTTACATTACATTGTAAATTGACTTATATTATATGACATATATGTTTCCAAATAGAATATTGATTTGTTACATTACATTGTAAAGTGATTATATGTTTATAAACAGAATATTGATGTACATCAATGAAGTTTAATAAATACACACAAGAGCGATTTTCAAGTCAAGAACTTCCACAAGTTGCTGATATTCAGTTTTGGGTCTGTTGGTGATTCAAAAATGAAATTATATTGTAGGATGAAATTTGTGTATATTTTATCTGAATCACATGCATAATTTGTGAATATTTTATGGCTATTTATGCACATGAAAGTTAATGGTTTTATGTTAGTGGGCAATAAAGCTGTACTTGGTATATACTTATTAGCACATTATTAGTAATTGAGCAATAAATAATATTTCAATATATTCTTTGTTTGTTTGCCGAATTGATAATGACTCCTAACAATCTCTCTCTCTCTCTCTCTCTCTCTCTCTTTCTCTCTCTCTCTTTCTCTCCTCTCATCCTCTTTCTCTCCTCTTATACTCTTTCTCTCCTCTCATCTTTCTTTTTTCTCTTTCTCTGTCTCTATGTCTGTCTCTCTCTCTGTGTGTGTCTCTCTCTCTCCCTCCTTCCCTCCATCCCTCCCTCCCCCTCTCTCCCTCTCATTATGTTTTTCCTTGTATGTTTCAGATTGGAGTTAAACATGGAGCTACCTTCGAGTCAGACAGGCAGCCTTGGTCAGTCCACAGCCTCAGCAGAGCAGGATGAGTTATCAGCAAGGTTAGCGGAGCTCAGGAAAATGTGATGAATTGTACAGCTCACAGAGTACAGGAATATGTATTCCTTTTATATGAACATGTCATGATGAATACGCCAGTTTACGGTTACATCAGTGCGCATGCGCAGACAGGCTGACCTGAGGTCAGTGGTATTTATGCGTAAATTAAGATTGCGCCCATGCAAATGATGATGTGAGCGCACAACGCAGTGCGTAGGCAGTAATGTCATCATAATTTGCATGGGCACAAACTTAATTTACGCATAAATACATGACCTCTAGGTCATTGGCTTGGATTAAAATGGCGCACACAACCGTAAACTGGTGTATTGAGAAGTTTTATTTCACCATTCTTATAATAAAAGAGAGAAGTATGGTGATTTATTTAAGCCAGTGTAATTTAAGACTATATAACCCAGAGAAGGGCCCTGTTGTATAAAACCTACCATTGATGGTAACTTTGCCATTACAGGGACTTGGTAACATTGTTCAGATGAGAGATAGTGGTTCTGAGGTACTGACTTCAATGCTAGATGTACAATTAAAGATAATCTGAAAATTTGAGTGAAAACGGACCATTACTCATGGTACAAATTGGGAAAAACTGATCTGATCGATTCCTTAATTCTCCCAACTAGGTCTAGATCTATAGAACAATTTAATTACATTTTAGGTGAATGGAAATCTCACAAAGCAATAAAATGGCTCTACATTCCATTCCAGACATTTAAGTGTTGACAGATTTTTTATAGCCTGTTTTATGTCTTTTTTTTTCATGGAAAAACAGTTGGAAAAATTCAAAAATGTTTGGGAGAATTTACTGTTAATCACTGTTAGAGGGTGCCTTACATCGACGCCTTCAAAGAAAACCATAGATATCTTTGTGGTTTGAGAATTTTTTCAGGATTTTTTGCCTGTCAGAGGGTTAGTACAGTAGAAGGAATAAAGTAAGTAACATTTTATACAAAAATTAAGCAATTTTTTTCATCAACCTTCAACAATGTTACCAAGTCACTTTAATTAAGTAGCGTCTGTAGAAGCCTATTTTGATTGGCTGTAGAGTTATGTTGCCATGGTAGCTAATGTTAAAGTAGTCACCTGAAGAATCAAAAGGGTTTTGAATCGATGCAAAATTCATATCAAGGAGAAAGGGAAGCCTTACTGACCAAATTTAACAACTCCCCTCAATCCCTTTTCAAAATATGTTTGGGGCCCGAAGTAGTCATCTCTCAAAAGTGTTAATTTTGAGATCCAGATTTTCTGGCTTCAGCGGTCCTCCGTAGAGCGTCAAGATTTGTGACATCACATGTGAGACACAGCTAGCCACAAAGCATTTTTGCCTTTCCTTGATATCTATATGATTTTCCAGCAAATTATTCGTGTTTTTCATGAGAAAATCTTAATATCCATATATGATTTGTCCATAATTATTAGTTGTGAAGTTTCTTTGGGGGACTACTTTAAGGGGAAATTTACTATCAGTGGTAATTTTTATGCAATGGGCCCAGCTTTTGATGATCTTCTCCAGAGCTTCTTTAAAAGTTTGTCTCTTTTATTGAAAAGTTAATATTGTACCCCCAAGAAAAAATGATTTTCTCTCAAGTATACTTAAGCCCACTACACACTACGATCTGACTGTGATCCAATTTGAGAAGGATCTATATAAATAAAATCATTGTGAATGATGCTCTGAATCAACACCAAAAATGAAAATGCTGGTTAAATTCAAACCATTAAACCAACTACTAAGAGTAAAGGCCAAGATCAGCTTCAAGTCTAATACTGTTTTCACACTGGCACTATTTTGCTTAACCCCATACTATAGGTGGGGTTAAGGGGGGTCTTAGCCCCACCTACATGTATAGTACGGGGTTAAGCCTATTCCACTTTCTGTTCAGACTGGTTTTTACCAAAGTGGGCTAAAGTTGGCTAACCCCACCTATAGTACGGGGTTAACTAACCCTGCAAAATAGCAGGGCTAACTCCGCAATTGTGGTGCTAACTCCTGCTAACCCCGCAATTGCGGTGCTAAGCAAATGAATGAGAACAGAAACGAAAAATAGTCCGGTACTACGCAATGGAGCGTATCGCAGCTGGCCAGATGCGAAGTATGTCCAATCATAACATACACGATGTCCGGGGTTAACGAAATGCAGTGAGAACAGCGGGAATTTTCTTATTCCGGAATAGGCGCTAGTACGGGACTAAAAACAGCGTGTGTGAAAAGCCAAAAAAATAGTCCGGGGTTAAGGATAGTACGGGGCTAAGCAAAGTACGGGGTTAAGCAAAACCAGTGTGAAAAGAGTAATAGACAATCAAATAACTGGTCTGGTGTTACTAAGATTCAGAGCTGATTTGGGATCTCCTCCTAACATCGGGCTCACAAAACCCAGTAATTTCAATTTAATTATCTGTTCCCAGAACTTCAATGACTAAGATTATTTATTGTCTGTATGAAGCCAGAAGGTCATTAGGATCTTTTACTTTCAATTTACGCAGAGTTAATGCCCTCCGTCTCCAAGCAGGTTAAATGTCAATTGTTTCAGTGAATCTTCCAAAAAGTCAGATGGCAGTCAGATCGTATTGTGTTCAGTGGTCATTACAAACTTGTTCCAGACTATTTTCTTTGATAGTCCATGAGATATGTGCCATCATTGAAAGGGACATTGCTGTACATTGTATGTATTGTGAGTGTATATATAGATGTGGTATAATTAAGCCACAGCAGTTCTTGTGGCTGGAGCCAGATTACAGATATCACACATTTATTTTTTTCAATTTCAAGTTCTTGTATAGAAGTATATGTATAAGGGTTATCTAGGATTCTTTTTAAAATTTGCATTACAGCTCTAGTTCACTGATGTAAGATTTCTTTGTTAATTATTTAGCTTTTGTGGATACATGTTTCATAGAGTTATTACTATGTGTTTTCTCATTATTCGAGACTTACGTTTGTGGCTTTTTTCCCTATCCAAGTCCTTTCCATGGAAATTCTTTTTCACAAAGAGGAACAAAGCGGAACATGAAAGTGAGCTTGAACAACAAGATATGTGGCTTTGTTTTCAGACTAGGGCAGTTTCTGGTTCTTGTCTTTCTCTGATATTTTCCTTTAAATGGATCCGGTAACTTTGTCTCAGATTCTGAAACAAAATTTTGGATTTAGCTCGTGCTGCAATGATAGTTATATACCTTTAGGTCAGTCAGGAACCCAATGACTTTTACAAGCCGATCGCCTGTCTGATTTTCAGGATATTTTTGATTGGCGTTTCAAATTTTGAAAACCGTTTTCCCAATGGTTTTCATAACATTACAGTCTATTGGGGAAAACAAGTATGGTAAAACCGGTCACTCAATTTTGTAATACTTTTTTTGATTTTTTGAGGCACTTCTTGATCATTTTGAAGCACAATTTTTTTAGGGCTTCAATATTACGCCATATCACAGACACTGATAACACGTAGGGCCGTGTATCTCAGATTTAACATTGTTAAACGATCCCTTTAAGATTTTAATTTGTATGTAGATAATTTCAATAAATAGTTGGTTGTAAATTGTATTTTGGAACGTGAAGGCTGAAAGGTTTTAAATATCCTTTGAAGCTTGCTCTGACACTTGCTCAAATTACAGACAAAATTAATAGTTTATTTTTTAAGTTAAAGAATTTCAAAACAATTAAAGTATTTTTAAATATTTTATAAAGTTGTTAAATGTCATCAATCTACATGGAAGAGCTCACTTAATTATAACATATACCGGTAGTTTATCTAAATAGTTTTATTCAAAACGTTATACATGTAGTAAATATATCATTTTTTTTCCTTGGTGAATTAAAAGTGAATTTCATATACATGTGTACTAGGATTTAAACAAAAATATATTCAGTTTAACCATTATAGTTTTATTATTTTTATTGTTGTTGCCAGTATTATTTAATTGGGCAGCACAATTTGTGATGGTAGTTGTGAGAACTTTTAGTTGTAAATTATGTGATACCAATCATATATTGCTCATTTATGCTTTTGAATATCACATATGTTTTTAACCTCTACATATGAATGTGTTGTAATACCTTATAGTCGGCCAGGTTTCTAATATGTACACTTTTGAAAGCTGTCAAACAATTTTTCTAAATATATTTGTGTATGTTAAATTTGTTTATGTTTTTAATATAAGATATATATACATGTATGAAATAATTATTGATTATCTTTGGTTAATTTTGTAAATAGAATATTAAATAAATATTTACATGTAAACAAGACCTGGTCAGTTCCTTATTTAGGTTTGTTCAGATATGTATTATGAATAGCTCATTATTATACATGTATTGTCCTCAAAGAAAAAAGGACCCTCCAAAATAACAAATTTGGAAAAATTTGATATTTAATTTTATTTGTGTTACCACAAAAGGGAACAGCATCTGGCACTTCATTTACATTACAGTGGCATACTGACTTAGTCCATTTGAAATTCCCATACATGTAGGTAAAGTGATTTTGAATGTCACAAACTTGTAATTTTGTTATGGTTTGTCCAATTTTGTTCAAACTTTTGATTTATCCTTTCCTATTTCTGTATTACTTTCAGAGGACTTTGCCTTTGAAATCATCTTTTCATTGACATTGTTATTATGACAATTGTCTACATCATTGCTTCTCTAGACACCATTGTCATCCCCATCATATTCATCATCATTATCATCCTCATCCTCATTATCATCATCCTCCTCATCCTCATCATTATCATCCTCATCATATTCATCATTATCATCCTCCTCATCCTCATCATTATCATCCTCCTCATCCTCATCATTATCATCCTCCTCATCCTCATCCTCCTCCTCCTCCTCCTCCTCCTCCTCCTCCTCCTCCTCCTCCTCCTCCTCCTCCTAATACTTTTGATATTTCCATCATTGCTGCTTATCCCACTATCAATCAGCCTTGCCAACACCACTACAATGTCAGCTACATCATAGCTTGTTTGTCATACTCAATAGATTATGTTCCAAGATTATGGACTATTGAGATTATTATTTTCCAATGGCAATTTGGTAAATTTTTTCACTTGTGTGTATGGAGAAAAAAAAATCATACTTCAAATAATAATGAAAGACTTGGCTGAAAAGATGATATGTGCTCTAGCTGACATGTACCAAGATTAGAGAGACATTCAAAGCATACAATAAATACAAAGTAACCATGACAACAGAAACTTCATTAGATTAAAACTGTCTGGAAGAGATTTTAATGCACACTATACATATCTAGGAAGAATAAAACTCATAGTTTACCTAAATGATACCAGTCAACTTAATTTATCTTAAACTATAATCAAACAATGTATGGTATTCATCATCCCAACATTGATTTAAGTAAATTACAAGACATCGCAAATAATAATTTAACCAGAGTTCCTATGCATTGAATTATACTCATCTTACCTCGTAAGATTTATTGAAAAGAAACTTGCTTAATTCATGCAATATTGCCAAATTTACACTATTGATAACATACATGTATATGATTGTCTATCAGAAGTTATAGAACTCTACAATCTATTCATTTTTAAAAAAGTTACTTGAAAGAAAATCAAAATCCATTTTCAAAACCATACATTCGCTGCAACTCAGTGAAAATTGTTCTAATAGATTGCAAAATATATTACAGTTTCTGTTTTGATTTGTTTCATTAGCTAATTTTCTGTTTTTCATCTTAAGTTGGCATATGGTATACCAGGAGAAAATTGTAAAATACAATGTACATTAGTATCATTATTAAAAGAAGAACAAAGATACTTCGTTAGTGAGGGAACATTTTACATAAAAAATAGTCATATCTACATAAAGCTAGTGAAAGACTACATAACATCACACTACATAGTTTTGTTGGAAAATTGAAATGAAATGAATCTGAAATAATGATTACTTAATTAGTGATGAACAAAACCAGAAAATCACTGTTTCCCTAAACGTGTCTGATGGCCAAGCCTTGTCTATAGTTCAGATTGACTTACTATAGTCACAAATGACCTTTGACACAGCCATAGTGATAGATAGATCTTCAAGTATGTATACTATGAAATACACATATAATATGGATGTTTCTGAAGAGTGTAGAAATTATAATAAATTAGTACTAGCAATGATTTTGCAAAAGTTCATGAAGCCCTAAAGTAGTATCAACACACTCAAAATTTACCTTGGTCTTCAAAATCGAGGCAAACTATTGTAATCCCTCCCAAATCATTACCACTTAAATAAAATATTGCTATGATTTTTTTTCCTGATTTCCTTCCACAATGTTGAAATGGAAGAACATACTTATAAACCCCTCAAAGTTTTGAAAACTCAACTTTTTTTCTTTTTCATAAAGAAGAAGAAGAATGGTAATTCCTTGTGCAATGAACTTTTTCAAGATTTGGGGAAAATAATTCCAGTCATTCTAACCCTGTCGGAGTATGTGAGTAGCCATGATTCATTGGTAGCTAGGTGGATACTTTCACTCAATAATTAAGGATATATTCATCTGATTCATCATACTTAATTACAGTTTAAATAAAGATCATTAAGCATCTGGTTATCTTCTACGGAACTCATGCAAAAAGCTTAAGATTGAATATGGTTTATTCTTCTTTACTGATAACCGTATAGCTGGTAACATAGTGAACATATAAAATCTACAGTCCCATCTGTAGGATCTCAAGCAGTATATACTCCTGACAAACATCCTCTTCTTATTACAAGAAATTCCAGATTCTCAAAACAATCATTCATATTTCTCAGATTACCAAAGACATAATCAAGAAATTCATTATTACCAGAAGATATTTTCTCTTTTTCTCATTACTCAAGATATCACAAGCCCAAAGTTTGTCTTGATCTCACCCGATAGTTTGATCAAATTCAATAATTATGCACCTCTGACGAAGTCACCATTTTTCAAAACTTGATTCTAGTTTCTTTCCAATCATCCTGATCTTATTGCTTCATGATACACTATCTTTACCAGGAAGTTCAACAGAGAAGTCACATTGTACGGCTTACTTTCATTCATGGGGTCATTGCGTCCGGTCGGGTGGTCGTCTTACATGACCTTTCGTGAAACAAAATCGGAAGATCATGTAAAGAGGATGCGACCTTTTATATATTTGCTGTTGGGTTTTCACAAATTGTTGGTAAATTGGACCAGACCATTAGTAGATGAGAGGGGTTTATTTCACAAACATTACCCCCAAAATTTCATGCATAAAGGGGCACGTTTTCACAAAAGATCTGGTAACGTGACAAACCGACCCAACACGATGACCCAATGATTTGAAGCGAGCCACAATGTACTGTGATTATTGTTGCATTAATGACTACTATTTTAATGAATTTCTAGCAGCAACATTTTTTTCGTCAAAAGGAATCATGTATGTCAATGATGGAAGGCTCTATATGTATGTGTTTATATCAAATCTATATAAAATGAACAAGTACTGTGCAGGGTAAATAAACCCATTGGCTGAATTATATGCGAAGCCCTGATTCAAAAGACAGTCATCTTCAGAGATCAGATTTGTGAGAACAGATAGCTTTTCCTTATACAAAGGTTTGAGTCATCTTACTTTCTAATAAACCATACAATAAAATGAACTTATTTACAATTGTATTCATGGAAAGAATTCTCTGATTCATATGTAAAAGTGAAATAGACACTTATATAAAACTCTGATTAGATAAACCAAAGTCTTGAAGAGTTGAACAAGTCTGTACATATTGAGTTTCACTATAATCATTCAGAATTAGAAGGGAAAAAAAGGACAAAATATGTTTACTAAAATGCCTGTAATCTGTTACTCAGCATGATAGATTCAGGCAAGAAATTATGAAAGAAACACTTATTATATTCTAATATTTCTTTAAATAATGTGCTATACTTTGCCCTTCAATGCGAGTCATATGTCATCATTCATCTATACATACAAAATAATGCTGCTTTGCAGTGTGTCAATATTTAATATTATTAGTTGACAAAAACAATAAATGAAATATTTTATTATACAAAAGACTAGTTATCTACAATAGAATTTTGCACTTCACATTCAAAACAAAAAGAGAATTCATAAAAATTGAAGCATACTATGAACTAAATTGCAACATTTAATAAGCAATAGCCATAAATTAATCCAAATGTACACTTCCTTCATTCAAAAATCACTGCATTTTGTTAGCTATATACTTCAGAATACATGATTTGTTCTCTACTGCATATATCTTTGAAACTGAATAAAAGTCCATTTTATTTGTTGAAATTTCAAACGATTTTTCCCTTATCCTTCAATCAAAATACACTTAGGTACTGAATAAAAACTACCTTAGAAGTACCTTTCTTTATCATTATCATGATTTTTATATTTTTTATTAATTTTACTTTTTTTTTAACAAATACAACCCATTACTTAAAAGTACTTGTTTTATTGACAAAAAGTCTAACAATACAGTACTGTCAAGGCCTTTGTGTACTGGGTTATGTTTCATTTCTCTTATACAAACACAGCCACAGAAGTTGAATTGAATATATAATAAATAAATAAATCTAAAGTTAAATTATTTTCATTTGTCCAACATATAAGAGACTTCAAACAATAACTACAAGAATATCAAGTTCAGTAGTACTATAGATGGTTTCAATATTTCAATATATATATTTTTTGTTGCGCTAGTTTATCATTCTTACTACAAATCATAATGATGTATTTCATTAATTATAAGCATGCGTACAAGAGCTTGTTTGAAAAGAGATGTCAAATTCAACAATAACGTAAATCACCACCAACCCATCTCTTACTTCACTTTCTACTTCCATCTTATCTCATATTTTTCAAGATGATTTTTTATATTTTAAATATTTAAATAATGACTGGACTTGAGGTTAAGTATCGTACATACCAAGCTTTAGACAGGGTCAAGATTCTCTATGCCCATTGTAGGTAGAGCCAGCCAATATTATTTTTTAAAATCATTAACACGCACAAAAGTCTATTGTGTAGGGATTCCTCTGGTGTCTACTGACGCATAAACGTCACATCAGGCTCTCGAGCTGAGCAATGATGTATGTTGCAACTATGCACTTTGATTGTCTAAGCTATTGTGTGTTCAAATGCATTTATTTTGATATTATTCTTACTGTTGCACTGGCAGCCATTTCCATTGCTCAGTGAATATTCAATGAAAAAATCCAACCAAATCCCCATTTAACATCTGGATTGAGAGAGAAAAAAGGAGTTCTATAAGGGCTTATCATAATGTCCAAAGGGTACATATAGAGATAATCCATTTCTATTTGATTCTTCTCTGAAATATGGTACAAAGAATACAACATGAATTGCAGAAATGATAAACTAGCAAGAAGATACTATGAGCTATACACTACATAATAAGGGTGGGGCCTAGGGGTGGGGCATGAGGAGGGTGGGGAGGGGGGGGGGGTGGGGGCTAAGATGGGTGGGGTCAGGAAGTACTCCTTGTCTAGCCTTGTGCACAGTTAGGGCAAATGATCTCCTCTCCTTCTGTCACAAAGCACTCATTCACAAGAGAGACTTGACACTTTTTGCAGTTGAAGCATTTGTTGTGCCAATTCCTCTGCTCAAAGCACACATATTTGGTCCCTCCTTGACCTGGAAAATTGAGAAAATGGAGTGAAATTATTAGAATATTTACATATCACTATTTGAAGTAGATGATACAAAGTGTGGTAGAACTCAGGTTATAAACATGTCTCTAGGATGTACAAGTATATTCAGATTCTCACTTGCTTGCTTGTCTGTAGCTCTTATTTTTAACTGTACTCCCCCTCCTCCCCTATTTTTTTTTCTCTCTCTCTTCCCCTCTCCATCTCCCCCTCTCACACTCTCTTACCCATGCAAGAGTACATAGCAGAAAATGCTTGGTGATTCTGCTCCCATCCTAGTAGAATGTTTGACCTAGTGAAGGTTATTAAGTCACAATAACCATTACAAGAGGGGAAAGTCTAATCTGGTGTACAGGGTTATAGAGTTCTACAATCTCCATACATCTGGACAGGCTTGTTAAATCTCAGATCATCGGAAGTCAAAAATTAGTTCCTTTACATGTTCTATTGATTTTAAAACCCATTACAATAGAATGATAAACAAAAACACATTCCTACTGACTAATACAATCAAAAGGTCAAGTGATACACTTGTTTTCATATGACAATTAAAACAGAAAATATACTGTGTCCTGAATTTAAACTTATCTGAAACTATAACCCTACACAAAACCTGACTTAATAGCGGTATCAACTTACCAACGATGGGTTGCTTGCATTCTGAGCATTTCCTGGCATACCTCTCCCCAAAGCAGTCAGCGCAGAGTCTCTTGTCATCCCTCACTGTGAAGCGGGTGTTATAGAGAGACTTGCCACACTCTGCACATCCGAAACATTCTCTATGCCATGGCTCGTTCTTATACTGCAGTCCACCGGTAGAGATGATCTATAGAATCAAGCAATACATCATGAAATAATTACTTCATATTGTGACTTTGCTAGGATTGATAAAGGTATAAATTATCAGTTTGCAAATCTGCAGAGTGTTACATATGTTATAACCGTGAGACTGAGCATACATCATTCCAAGGCCTAAACAAAATAGATGTTGTATTGCCCTTAAGGTGCCAAAACATGAGTCGGTCGTCGGGAATCTTTTTTTTAAATTAAAAAAAAAATAATTCTAATTCCCTCTTTGGGCTGATATTTCTCAGTTTTGAATGCTTTAATACATTTTTTTTCTTCTAAAAAACTTTAAAAAAAAAAAAAAACTTTAAAAAAAAAGCTGACCGTACATTTCAAGATTTTTGGGTCGGTCGCAAAGGGCAATACAAAAAAAATAAAATTGTAGGCCTAATGGTAGATGTATCTAATGAGCTGACATTGAAAGAGGGGCTCAATCATTCAAAGTAGTTTTCTTCCTATATACTAGGTATATTTCTGATTGAACAGTGGCAAAAGCTTTGAGACCTTTTACAAAAGTATAATGCACTCTATAAAAACTGTTCTATTATTATAACTACAACCTTTTCAAAAAGTAATTATTCACATATAATAATAATAATATGTCTTGTTTACTTTATTCCATGTAATTACATCCAACCACCTTGAAATATTAATTATCATTAGTTGTTCTGCATTCTCCTTTCCCTCTCTCTTCATAATCCTCTTTAATGAATACCAGGATCCACCAACTAAGCAGGGACCCGTCACACTTGCTTCAAAATCATACGTGGCCAACTAATTGATTCCATGTATAAAAATAATTCTTCTAGATATCTTGATTGATTTAATTTCTATTCCTGATCAGCTGACATCTACTACAAAATATAAACCAGCAACAGGCCTCCTAATGAAGGGCAAAGGAGACTGTGAAGAAAGATAAATAGCGCCCTCACCTTGCCACAACCAGCACATTTGGTACCAAAGGTTTCCTCGTAACACGTACTGCAGTAAATGTTGTCCTCCTTGGGTACGAAGCTGCCCCCTCCGATATGCTTGTCACAAACCTTGCATCTGAAGCACTTGTCGTGCCATTCCTTACCCTGGAATCCAAGACGTTTCATTCCTAGTTGTTAAGAAGGAGGAGGGGGAAAAAAAAATCATAAGTATTCAGAGAGTACCAACTAGAGATAAAGATGTTTTAAACCTACAAAGCTCCCCATAGTGTAAGAGTTGTTCATACAGTGAAAAGTACTACCATATCATAAAGAAAATTGTTAAAGTTCCCTGTTACAGTTTTACCATTGTGTTGAAGCAATCACAAACAATCAAGATATAACTGTTACCAATTATAAGGACATTTAAAATAAATCATGTTATTTTATGGACAAACCATGGGGTGGGGGAGAATGGAGGGGGAGGGGCTGTGGGGCTGTGGGGGTCATACTGCAAAAATGCTGCTTGTTACCTTAATGGGAAATCTCAAAGCAGAACTAACTTCACTTAGTTTTCCTAATGTAACAAGAGTACACTCCCATAAAAAACATGATTACATTTCATCCTTTAAACTGCCATGGTCTTGGAGAGATAAAATAATAGAACTGAAATCCAATGAAAACTGAAAGTTGATCTGAGAGATTTGAATGTTATCTCATACCGTTC